GCCCATGGCTCGGTTATAGCAGGGGGATGGAGGTGGACGTTATTAAAGTGTCGGCCCATGGCTCTGGCTCTATATTAGAATCTCAGTGATCCTGTTGGCCTTCCCTTGAACCTCAAGATAGCTGCAGCAGCTCCAGGCATCACATTCACTTTTACACTCAGCAAGGAAACAACCGTAGTCTGGGGTAACAGATTTTTCCTCTGGTGCCACTGAAGGAGAGAAATGTTCAGCAGATACATTATGTCTTGCTGGCTAGGACTTCCCCAGAAACCTTCAGCAGATATACTGTGTCTTGCTGCTCAGGCTGTGTTACTTGGCTAATTCTAGATGAAAGAAAGGCTAGGAAGGTGAGTAGGCTCTTTCTAACCTTGGGAAAGGGAGAAGCAGGTTGAAAATGGCTTTGGTTGGCCAGTCTTCTGCTACCACACTGCTTTGGGGACATACACATTGTTCTTGTTTCAGTAACAGGGAAACATAGCATGGAAGGACAAAGAAACGGGCTGAATTTTCTAGGCTTTAAATCCCATCCACAGGAATTTCTTCAGCAAATCCTCACTGAGCACCTGCCCCTTGCTCTGCATTGTGCCAGGCACTGAGGATACAGTAGTGAAAAACTCAGACTTGGTCCCAGTCCTCATGGAGCTTTCTTAGTCCAGGACATGCTGACCATCTTGTGGCTGCTGCTCTCAGCTGTCATTACTGCACATCCACCATTTGCTGAGTGTATACTGTACACTCCACACGTAAGTCATTTAATACTTGCATCAAGGCTGTATATCCAGTTCTGTTTTACAGATGAGTAGACAGGGTCAGAAGGATTGTGAAACTTGCCAGAGTTAGTAGGCTGTAGAGTCAGATTTCATTAGGTCTACCTGACTCCAAAAAAGAACAAAATATCCCAAACCTAAAAAAAACTACAGTAAAAAAAAAAACCCTACAACAATAGGCTCTCATAAAGACATGTGATCTGTTAGTACTATTTGTTTTCTGTTTTTTTTTTTTTTTGGAGACATGGTCTCACTGTCGCACACCCTGGAGTACAGCAGCGCGATCTCAGCTCACTGCAGAACTCCGCCTCCCAGGTTCAAGCCATTCTCCTGCCTCAGCCTCCCAAGTAGCTGGGATTACAGGCGTGTGCCACCACACCCAGCTAATCTTTGTATTTTTTAGTAGAGACGGGTTTCACCATGCTTGCCAGGCTGGTGTTAAACTCCTGACCTCAGGTGATCCTACAGCCTCGGCCTCCCAAAGTGCTGGGATTACAGGCATGAGCCACCACACCCAGCCTGTTCTTCTTAAATTATCATTATAAGATTCTGTCCAGGGCCGGGCGTGGTGGCTCAAGCCTGTAATCCCAGCACTTTGGGAGGCCGAGGCGGGCGGATCACGAGGTCAAGAGATCGAGGCCATCCTGGTCAACATGGTGAAACCCCGTCTCTACTAAAACTACAAAACATTAGCTGGGCATGGTGGTGCGTGCCTGTAATCCCAGCTACTCAGGAGGCTGAGGCAGGAGAATTGCCTGAACCCAGGAGACGGAGGTTGCGGTGAGCCGAGATTGCGCCATTGCACTCCAGCCTGGGTAACAAGAGCGAAACTCCGTCTCAAAAAAAAAAAAAAAAAAAAAAAAAGATTCTGTCCAGCTAATTTTCAGGATTGCCTTTCAAGACTCTATTGATTCTGCCAAGCTCACTTTGAGCTATGTGTCTGTGTACTTAAACGCCTGCTGAAATTAGTTATTTATTTAGCGATTTCTGCCATTTAAAGAAAAAAAATCACTAAGTAGCTGTGCCCTGGGATTGTGCTGTTTTCTTCCAATGGATGATTAGCCCACCCCTTTGTACCCTCATCCATTCCAGACTTTCACTCATATGTGTGTTCACCTCTTGGAAGAAAAGGTAAGATAGATCAAGCTTCCAGCATAAGATGAGTGCTTTGCTAATTGTGAGTCCTCACTTGGATTCTTGCGGGAGCATTCCAGCCTGCATTATTTGTGGTGATGTGTGGACTGCTTCATCGTCATCGTGAGATGATTCTTTTTGGAGAAGGGAGAGCAATGCCTCCTTGCAACTGAAAATTTATTTTTACAACTTTTATAATAATGACAGAATTTAGACTCATCCAAGATTTGACCAAGAGTCGGAGCCACAACTCTTTCTGTAAATGACAACAGTTTGCCTGGTAGGGTGACCATGTGACTTGTTTGTGGACAGTGCACTCCAAATCTAATTAGACAGAGCATGGTCTAGGTTGCACCAGGATCTGACAGCCACAGCGCAGAGGCTCTCTGCAGACAAAACAGTAGAAAGGGGTCACTGTGTTTTCCAGAGTCTCATGCTAACCTGCAATCTGTCAGGACAGAAAACCTAATTTATTCCCTGAGGCAAATCCAGTGGCCTAACCTTGTCTTTTCACATTTCTTCCCTACTAGGTTTCCATTGTTTACTGCAGTCTATCAGATCTGCTACGAAGGCCGACCAGTCCAAGAGATGTTGTCTTGTCTTCAGAGCCATCCAGAGCATATATAAAGTGAAACGTGCAACGTGCTGGGGAAAGCTCCGCCTTTCTGATCCATCTTTTGGGTTCACGTGGAAACCAGGATTTGGCAGCATGATGTTTGCTTGACCGTAATCTCATCATGGATATGTATGAATTTTTACAGGTTCATTTTTAAATTGTAAGAGGCAGTTCATTGGCAAAGATGTCCTGGGCAGCAGCTAAACACACACACACACACACGCACACACACACACGTACACACACACACGTACACACACACACACACGTGTGAATGGCAGTTTCTTCCTCATTCTGTGGGTGTTTCTATGAGCCAAATTTCAATGTTTTTTTTTCAAAATTGTTTATGAAATTTCCACACAATGGTAGCTTATAAAATTGGAATGATCTCAGCTAAATTGTTTTAGGTGTAATACATATGGATTTGAATGGGGGATCTCTTTTTTCTCATTCTTCTAATGTTAAATTTTAACCAGCATTAACATCGTAGACTGGATGAGTGAGTGTGTTCAAAGATCAATATATTTAACTTTTAAACACTATCTCAAAGCCAGCCTAATTAACTACTTTGATTATGGGCTGACCTTTGTTTTTTAATAATCAGGTATTTTTAATTAGATAATCCACTTCTGTATTTCCCCTCACTGCAGTTGTCTGCATTTTTAGCCTCTTTTCTCTTCATTAGTTGTCAGAATGTGCCTTCACCAAGGCTCAGCAGTGACAGAAGACAGAGAACTCATCTGGGGTTTTCCTGCTGTGCGTGGCACATTCTTCTGATTAGCAGACACTTGTATGATGCTTTTGGCTGGTTAGTGCTCTTTTTGCAAACATTTCTCTTAAGCATCACAGATCCTCTGGGGGGCTGGGGGCTACTGTGACTCCTCTCGTTAGATGCCATCACTCTTCCTGGTCACCCAGTGAGCAGGGACAGAACCGGGAGTCAATTACAATGCCAAGGTACATGACCCTCCAAGAATTCACTGGGCCGACTTGACCCCTGACTAATTGGTTGTGGCAAACGCCATGTGCAGCCTTTCCTGGGGCCGTAGGAGGGCTTCCTGCAGCGGAGATCTATGCAGCCCATCCTCAACGGACGCCTCTCCAAGTGTGCTTCTTGGTTCAACAGCATCAGCTTCACTTGTTGGGTTGGCGGCGGGCGGTAGGGGGCTTGGGGGGGGCGTCTGTCAGAAATTCAGCTTCCCAGGTCCCACCCTGGACATCTGAAGGGGTATGGCATCTGTGCTTTGGATACTCACTACAATTGGAGAACCACTACTTGAGAAAATCTGCTTTAACTTGGCATTCCTCTGTGTCCCTCGGACATGAGTCCCCCATGATCCAGTGGTTATTCCAGGTGCTCCTCGGAAAGGTCCGGTGAGTTTGGGAAGTACCATGTCTGTGCACCTCTTGAAGGTGTAGAATGTATGTTCATACGTCAGTGGAACCCATTTTTCTAGCCTAGCAAGTCCCAAACACATTACACTGAAGACAGATGTTGTGAGGAAACTTGCTGGAGTTTTCAGGGAACGCTGTCCTAGGCTTAGGTGACCTTAGGATGACTTAAGTAGACCCTTCACTCCCTGCGAGAAATTAGGATGAATATACCTGTGGTATTGCTGGTTCCGAACTTTGACAGTTTAGGCCTGCGTGAATCTGATGAAGCTTTAAGGTGACACTGTTGTACAAGATGTCAGCTTTGCTGAAACGCACATTACCTGGAATAAGTGCTTTAATTGTAGAATTAGGATGGGATTGATGTACTGTTTTAAATGAGATTGGCTTCAGAATAGCATTACAGTACTTTATATAGCACTTGACATATGTTAAAGGAACATATGAATGTAATTTATATATTCCTGGAATTTCAGTTACTTTGTGAGATTTGGGCCTGTCCCTCAACCCCAGTTTAGGATTTTTTTTTTCTATACGTTGAAATGATTATAAAATAGATTTTTGTGGGAATTTTAACTCTATCCAAACCATTTTTGGAGCATTTTAAAGCCCCATACACAGAAGTATACGAAAGCACACAACACAAGTGTCAGTTTTAGCACCACTGTTAACCCACTTTGCTTGTCTCATGAAAAATCTTTTTTAAAGTTTGTACATAGGTAACAAAAAGTTACTTTTAAAGATACACAAAGGGCTGTAAGCTAATTGTGGTGTCTATTAAGCAGCATAATGAGATGTGAGGAGGTGGGACTTTGCGTGTTTGGTGTATTTTCATCTGCATTCAGCTTCTTACTCTGGGTTTGTATTCGAGTGCTATTTCTTTACAAATCCCCTTGTAATTACCACTCTGAAGTCTGCTGACTGTGTCTCCTGAACATACTTAGCATATTCTGCACATTATGGAAAAAGGCAAATTTTATAAGTTTCTGCTGTACTAACTGTAGATATTTATTACTCTGTGAGTTGTCTATTTTTATAACCACCTGTGGTCCATTCATTTTAATTCGTATTTCTTACGAAGTATGGTAACAGGGAGGGAGACACCTAGATTAGAAGTTCAATTTGTACTACTTCAGCCAATCTGTGAATGTAAAAACTACACTGTTGCCTTGCTATGATCCACCCTTCTACAATGTGGAACAAGTATCTGAATGAAGTCCACCCTAGGAGATGGAGTCATACTGAACTTGCGGTTTTTCATTTAACTCTTAACTATAACATGGCCCCATGGCATCCGCACCAAGAGGGCGTCATGTGGGGTGCCATTGTGATAGGGGACTTTAGTTTTTCCACTAGTTCTTATCTGCTAGCCTTTTACATACGTGTGTTCTGTATTTGTTTACAGACTGGAGGTGGATATATAATTTTAAAGCTTGGTTTAATAAACATTTAACCCCCTAAACTTGCACCAGGGATCCTGTTTTTCTTTTTATCAGCTTGGGTAAACGTTTTATTTGTCAACTCTTTTTTCCTGAGCTGTGTTTCATTACCAATATCAAAGACAGTTTTCAACAGAAGGGCCTCGTCTCTAATCCCAGGCCCTAAATGCATCTGTTTTTATTGTTTACTGATATTTTTACATAATTGCAGTTTAGGATGGAGACCTTCTAGTGAATTTGAAATCCCCTTCTCCCGACTCCATGTATACCTTTAAAAGCTGGGAAAATATAACCAGTGCTGATGTCATAACAATATGAGGGAAATTCCTAGGATCCTGAAACAAATCAGGGGCTGACCGGCAGAGTTGAAGGGATTGAGTTGTGAAGCTTATGCTGCGCCAGAGCCCACCAAAGTCTGTGTTGTCGAGGAAATAAATGAGCTAAGAATACCCAGGTCTAGGCACAAACAAGGAAGCTGAGGCCCATGTGGAGTAAAAACGTTTTGTTTCGTTCGCCACAGAGTCTTGCTGTGTCACCCAGGCTGGAGTGCCATGGTGGCACATGCCTGTGGTCCCAGCTACTCGGGGGCTGAGGTGGGAGGATCACCTGAGCCCAGGAAGGTTGAGGCTGCAGTGAGCAGAGATCACGCCACTGCACTCCAGTCTAGGGGACAGAGTGAGACCCTGTCTTGAAAAGATAAATAAATAAATTGCAAAATAATTCATTAGGAGTGAAAACCAACAGATTTTTAAAAACAGGGTTAGAACCTTAGGATTTTAGATAATTTGAGTAATACAATAGATACTTTTTTAAAAATCATTTGAAATCCTTTATAGAGATGGGGTCTTACTATGTTGCCCAGGCTGGACTGCAGTGGTATGATCATAGCCCACTACAGCCTCCAACTCCTGGGCCCAGGTGATCCTCCTGCCTCAGCCTCTCAAGTAGCTAGGACTCCAGGGGCATGGTACCACACACACCCAGATTTTTTTTTTTTAAGTAAAGATGGAGTCTTGCTATGTTGTCCAGCCTGGTCTCAAACTCCTGCCCTCAAGCAGTCCTCCCGCCTTGGCCTCCCAAAGCCCTGGAACTACAAGCAAGAAGCCTGGCCAGATGCTTTGAAAGATATTTTTTAAAAATAAAGACATCAAAGATTAAAAAATAAATACTGTGGGAGAAATTTAAAAAATAACCCAGGCAGGCAGATTTGAAAAGGAACCTATTCGAACATTTAGGAATGAATATAATCATTTGAATTTTAAAAATAGGCAAATAGAGGCCGGGCGCGGTGGCTCACGCCTGTAATCCCAGCACTTTGGGAGGCCGAGGCGGGTGGATCACGAGGTCAAGACATCGAGACCATCCTGGTCAACATGGTGAAACCCCGTCTCTACTAAAACTACAAAAAATCAGCTGGGCATGGTGGCGCGTGCCTGTAATCCCAGCTACTCAGGAGGCTGAGGCAGGAGAATTGCCTGAACCCAGGAGGCGGAGGTTGCGGTGAGCCGAGATCGCGCCATTGCACTCCAGCCTGGGTAACAAGAGCGAAACTCTGTCTCAAAAAAAAAAAAAAAATAGGCAAATAGAAAGATTAAAGAGTAGATTTGACAGGGCTGCGATGGAATTGGCAAGATGGAAAATAGATCTGAGGATATTAAAGTAGCAAAGAGCCAGGCATGGTGGCTCACACTTGTAATCCCAGCACTCTGGGAGGCTAAGGCAGGCAGATCACAAGGTCAGGAGTTCAAGACCAACCTGGCCAGCATGGTGAAACCCCATCTCTACTAAAAATACAAAAAATTAGCCAGGCATGGTGGCATGCACCTGTAGTCCCAGCTACTTGGGAGGCTGAGGCAGGAGAATTGCTTGAACCCAGCAGGTGGAGGTTGCAGTGAGCTGAGATCATGCCACTGCATTCCGGCCTGGATGACGGAGCGAGACTCCATCTCAAAAAATAAAGTAGCAAAGAAAATATTTGAGAATTTAAAGGGTAAGTGAAAGATAGAATAAGACTTGAACATAAATCTGATAGGAGTTACAGAAGAGAGAAAAGGAAGGCAATTTTTGAAGAGAAGGCTGAAATTTGTCCTGAATTAGTTATGTGCACTGAATTTTTTGTTATTCTCCATAATGTATTTCCATTAAAATTTAATCACGTGGTCTTTATAACTTTTTATGGCTGCGTATAACTAAGTTGATGGTGAACTTTTTTAAGGAAATAAACATTATGAAGACTCTATGCATAATCTAATTTACTGAAGCTATGATTGATTCACACACGTTACTGAAGCAAGCGATGTTGCCTTTGGTAGGGATGGTAGACAGCAGGCATAGTTCTGTGGGAAGACTTGTAGCTCCGGCTTAACTATTTAATATCCATGTTGTTTA